ACAATACATACGAATGCAATGAAGCGGAACGTATTGCGTAAAACATGGACTAGTATCGCAAAGAATAACACCTCGGAAGTGAGGTACGTGTTTCTGTTAGGGAAACACGATGACCCAAACTGGAATAATAAAATCGTAGAAGAAGCAAAACAGTATGGAGATATCATTATCAAGGATTTCAAGGACACCTACAGAAATTTAACGTATAAGACAATATCTGGTTTTCAGTGGGCAGTTGGATTTTGCCCAAACGCTCAATACATTATGAAAACAGATGAAGATATGTGGGTCAACACACCAAAATTGCTACAAGATATAGACTCCTGGAAAATTAGTAAAGAAGTGATAGGATATTGTCATTCAACAGCTGCTCCACTTCGGGACAAGAAGTCAAAATGGTATGCGTCTCCATTAGAGTATCCAGAGAAACAATACCCAGGCTTCTGCTCAGGTACCGGCTACGTCACCACCATGAGCGTCGCGCAGGCCATTGTCGGTGTCTCACCACACATACCATTCTTCTATCTTGAAGACGTCTATATCGCCATTTGCATTAGGAAGTTAGGGTATCGACTTCGCAATGTAAAAGGCTTTAACAGTAATAAAGTGCCATTTAAGCCTTGTGAGTATCAAAGAATAATAACAAGCCACGGCGTTACAATTTCAGAGTTGAAAGCTGCGTGGAGTGCAAACTGCTAGATACCGTTTATGCCTTTAAAGATGATTTCAGTGATAAGTTCAGCAGAGTTATTGCAATCCTCTAATTTTGGAATAACTTCCTCATTTATGATTGAATTCCATGGGATTTTTATACAAAAATGTGCAATGCCGGTTAAAGTGGTATACTCTATAGATAGCACAATCACCAACTGAGGTCTTGAGAAATCACTTATTTCGTCGAGGCAAGCTCTTCCGCCAAATCACTCAAAAATGCAGTTCTGGAATCTGCCTTTGTCTATATTTAGAAAATTAGCCATCATAAATTCTCAAGAGCACGAGATCAGAAGAATATTACGCGGCAGGCTTGACAAAGTATACCAAATGAACAAGGAGGATTGGCTCCCAGAATCGAAGTCGATATTTTCCAACAATGAAAACGCCGAGATGTCGTTATTTTCTGAAATTATAACCGATTATAAATTCAAAATAAACAGTTCAAAAGATTCGAACCAATATCTCGATCACTTCCTGTGAGTTTTAGAATTTTTCGTTAGGAAATAAGACCAAAATTCACGATTCAAATGTTGAAGTGAACAAAATGGCGGCTGTTGGAATTCAAATTTTGTAGCACGACATGTCCATATATGGGACAGAATATCGATGTTGCACTCTGGGAGCCAATCCTCCTTGCCAAATGAACACTAAAACATTCTTGGTTTAGGAATCGAAGACTTGCACTTTACAAACGAACAAATACTTGTATTTTTAAAAGATATGGCATTTATAGTTATGCAACAATATTTGTGTCATCAACGGTACTTGACAAGTTTACAAACTTAATGAAACTTCATTCATTGTGAAAGGGTGGCCCTCAAGGGAGGAACATGGGCCGACCAGGGGGTTACCCTTAATTAACGGTAATATGCAGTATGTATTTATTCTGAGTGTACCGACCTTGGGGAAGGTACAATAATAAGCAATGCCTTCTGGTTCATTTTGTTTTTGCAACAAACAATTATATCTCGAAAAGCAGCCTATACATTTTAGTTTAAATATTTATGTCCATTTACGTTACACATTAATTTAGTATTGCACCATATGGCAACACCACCATTTTTTAAAATTTACAATTGTATATCTTTTACTAGCTTACAAGATATTCAAAGCATCTCATACTTTCATACAGTACTGCAGTGCCGACCTTGGGGAAGGTACGATGATACGCTATGTCTTCTTTTTAATTTTATAGAAAATGCAGTCCCATTATGTCATTGTTTTGTTAATCTCAAGAGTGTTATTGTTTATTGTTTCTTTTATTCCCGAAAATTAATCGGAGCAACAAACATAATAATTACAATTATACAGTTACTTTATACAATAGAGAATAATCATGAAATGTAAGAATAATATTTACATAAAATAGTGCTGCACAAATTGCAGCTTATTTGCAACAGTTAGTAAAAAATTACAAAATGTGTCATCATCTAATTGCTGGAGAACATCTGCCTGACTTCCTAGTATGGCATCAATAAAAACATGTGTGTCAGCAGAAAACAGCTTGACACCAGTATCTATGTCTAAAATTGAGACTAGTAAATTAAAAAGTTCGTCTCTCTCACAGATAATTCTAGTATTTTGGCAATGCAATAGGTAATGCACGATTATGAACTCATTGGTAATAATAATGGTGTCACATATTTTACACTTCTTTTCATATACATTAGGTAAGGATAAATGAATGAGATTGCCTAAATTCCAAGTGCATTTTGGGAATTGTCTACCCAATTCCCACATTATGCTTGGGCTGAGGTTTGTATGGACGTTACGAAAATATTGTAAAGAGACATTCTGTTGGCAGCTTTCTTGCCATTTTTTCTCCTCAAAAATATGAATTTGGGATTTAGTAAGCAGTCTCCACTTCTCCTTAATCAGATATTTGCCATTACAGATGAATTGTTGAATTTGGTCTGGTATATATTCATATTTTTCAGCCAGATTGTATAGATCATTGATAAACCCTTTCTGTTTAAAAGTTTCCCTGTTCGACAAATAACTTGCCAATCTTAAAATGAAGACTTTTTTAGTAATAAAATGTTTGCATCTACATAATCTGTTGAAAAACCCCAATTTAGCCTTATCGATCCTAGCAGATATTGTCCATAATCCAAGGGTCGATAAAACTACATCGGACGGAAATCTCATGCCAAAACGTTGAATTGCTTTTGTTACTTGACGTTGTGTAAGTTCTAGCAAATAAATGTCTTTTTTGGTTAGGTTTGACCAAAGCTCACATCCAAATAACATGGCAGGTAATATTATGTTGATCCAGATTCTTAATGAAGTAAGAGGATTTGCATCCTTTACAATGCGGACATTGGCAATTGAGTAATACGAATTTTTGGCTTTTTTACATGCATTAACTACCATGTCTTTGCATTTAAAATCACTTCTCAAAGCGTTACCAACGTATTGTTGAGTATTTGCGTTAGGAATAATATCACTGCCTAAGAAGTAACACACTTGATTTCTGGCTTTTGATGTCTCATTGAATGTGACCACGACGCTTTTGCCGTCTTCCCCAGCATGGTACAGTAACCTCCACTTGCTACTATATTCATATACAATGTTTAGTAGGGTCTGTAGGTCAGCAGGGGAAGACGCCAAAAGAGTCGTATCATCCGCCACTAAAATGCATGGGATTAGAGTATCACCGATAGTTACGCCGACACCTGAGTTACATAGGTCTTCAATAAGACCGTTGATAAAGACGTTAAAATAGATGGCGCTACAGACCCGGCCCTGACCCGAGCCCTCTTTTATTTCAAAAGTTCTCGACATTTTTCCCATATATAATACGCTCGCCATTGTGTCGGTATAGCTATCTACTATTAACTTGAACGCTTTCCCATTTATACCAAGGTTATATAATTTGTGGAAAAGTCCTATCCTCCACAAGTAGTCAAAACATTTTACATTGTCCAAAAATGCACAAAATAGTTTGCTTTTCTGTTCACTATAATGGTGAATGGCTTCCGAAAGTACAAACATAGCAAACTGACTTCCAGAGCCTTCCTGATAGGCAAATTGAAGTGGGTTAGGGCATTTTAAAATCTTAAATTTAGGAATGAGTCTTACAGAAACTATCTTTTCCCATAGCTTAAAAAGAACCGACGTGAGTGTAAGACCACGAAAATTATCTGTACATGTGAGATCTTTATTTTTCCCTTTGAATAATGAAATCATAATTGCTATCTTAAAACAAATTGGTAAGCGTTCAACTTTAACAATTGCGTTAAAAATTTCGCAGATCTTTTGAGTTAAGTGTGGACCACCATATTTTAAATGTTCAGCGACCACTTCGTCCATCCCAGGTGCTTTGTTGTTTTGAAACGATTTTACAGTGTTTGAAATTTCTTGACAAGATATGGGTACATCAAAGACACCATCTTGGTTAAATGTTGAATTTACCTTCATTAAGGAGAATTCATGTTCAACTTTAAGCTTATGATTATTATCAAAATGAGAGGCGTTGTGTGGGCTACCAAGTTTTTCAAAGTGATTAGCCCAGATCTGTCTTACCTCATCAGCGTCTCTGTAGATAACATCATTTACTTTAAGCTCATGAATGCGATTCGTTGATTGGGCATTTTTGTTTTTAAAACAATTGATTTTCCGATAGAAAAATGCTGAATCAACCTCGCTTGCGTTTTCGAGTTGCTGGATCTGTGAAAATTCATAATCAGCCCTTGCTGATTTTAATTCTTTAGCAAACCTCCGTTTAGAGAGCTTATAAAGCCTATATGAATCGTGTTTTAGACCGCGTGGTTTACCGTCCTGAATCCAAATGGAGCGGTGCGACTTCATGTTCTTATGATGTTCCTTGACAGTATTAGTCCAGTAAGGCTTTAGAAACTTTCTAAATTTCGATTTTGGAATGAAACTATCAGAGCTGTCAATGACAATTCTAACTAAGTCCTCAGTAGCTCTAGAAAGGCTAGAAATTGAATCATTAGGAACTATGAAATGTTCCAGTTTAGAAGAGACTGAGTTAGCATAGTCAGATCTGTTCTGAGCTGTAGCTTTATTCCACCTTAAAACAGATTTATTACTCGATTGAGTAAGGTAACATGTATCTATAGAGAGATCTAGTGAAAGTATAACAGGATGGTGATCGGAGATCTGTAGAGAATGATCATCCAAAACTGTGCATTTTTTTTACTAAATCTTTTTTACACGTAGGAATAGCAAAAAGGTCGACGCAAGACACGTTTTTGCCATTACCGCTGTAAAATGTAAACCACGGACCGTCAGCAAGGTCACTTGAATTAACAGAAAAAAGATTACATTCTAATAACCAATCTTCTATCTTAAGACCCCTAGAATTTGGCGAAATGCTACATCTTGGGCCACTTTTTGCACTCAAATGGCCATTAAAATCACCAGCAAATACAACTGTGCCAAGCTGCTTGTATTTATGGTAAACTTCATACAGAGAATCGAGGTACTCCAGAAAAATATTTTCTGGGTAAGTGTTACATGGCATATAAACAGCAAAGACGAAAATGTAAGTATCCTTACTGACAAGCAATTGAGCTCCACAGATTCGGTCATTGACAGGTATCGGTTTTACAATAAATTCTTTTCTGTATAATATAGCAACACCACCACAGCCACCCCTCGGACCATAGTCTATAGAAAGGCGTTTGTCACAAACCGTCAAGGCAGAAAAATTTGAATCAAATGAATCTAGAAATGAAGTAGAATCAGGATAGAGCCAGTGCTCAGTTAAAACGACTATATGTAACAAGGGGAGAAGCGTGGCTAAGTAGGGTGAGCCATACATGATACCTTTACAGTTCCAATTTAAAATATTAAGATTGCTTATCATTAACAATTGGTAGGAGTGCAGTCGTATGACCAGTCGTCCTCAGACATGTTATCGTCGTACTTGTTGCGCGGTCCGAACCAATTGTCGCCAACCTGGTTAAAGTTGTACTGCTTTTCTGAGAGCCAATGTCTACAAAAAGTGTTGTCTGGCCAAAATTCATTAGATACTGCTAATTGATATTGAGAATTTATAACATTAAGTCTCACCGAGAGTGTTTCAATTCCATTTCTGTTACTCCTTTTTCCGACAACACGCATGTTGGTAACTTTAACGCCACGTTTTAAAGCATACGATATTATAGATTGCCTAAGCTTGTCATATGGAACTGATTTTACATTATTAAGGAGTATGCGTTTTGTACGTTGGCGTTTAAGTGTAGCAACGCCCACGAAGTCAGTATCATGATCATCACTATCTGTACGACTACACTCGTCGAAATAGCGACTATCATGGTCATGACTCGTAGAGTACGAGTATGCAGAGGAGTGCTTTTTAGAGGTAATGATAGACTGGATTTGCTTGGTTTGAGGATTTGGAGATACCTTGCCATGAGGCCAAGGTTTGGAGTACGTGGGTTTTGTTCCATTTATTGGCGCTTGAATAATTGGATTGGGCACAGCGCCAGTGGGTTTACTGTTGGATGTTGATGGAACTGTTGGCGCTATATTCAATTGTGTAGCATTTGTGGTCGTTGACGTAGACTTGACAATTGTGCAGGCAGTGCGAGTTGTTGTAGGCATGACATCAGAACTACAGCACTGAGAAGATGTCGATGTATTTGAGTTTGAACTCTCCACATTATTAGTGGCTTTGGACGAGATGGTAGATGTGACAGGTATGCTGCTGGCAGCTTTGGTCGGTGTACTTTGAATCGTAGACATGACAGGTGTGGTAGTAGTTGAGTGCGCTGTTGTAGGTGTGACCGATAAGTTGGTGGAAGTGGGTGTTGTCCTTGTAGTCGAATTGGTAGATGTGAGTGTTGTCGGAGACATACACTTATTGGGGGAGTCATCTGACTTTGGCTGTGATAATGATTTATCAATCAGGCACAGCTTATTGTGAAGAGTTTGTATGCTTTTGTACATATTGGCATGTGCATCTCTAGCTTCGTCACGAAGATTTTGGATTTTAAGCTTTTGATCTTGAATTGTTTTGTTAGCCATCTTGATTTCATTACGTAGTCTTTGTTCTTCGTCTTTAGAACGGCTGAGGTCAATTGTTTGAGTTTCAGATTTTTTCCTCAACGACGCATCTTTTTCAGATATTGTATTGCGTAGCTCTTCTTTTAGCTCTGCGAGTTCCACTTTCAATTCAATGATATGAGATAAAATAACTGTTTGTTCTGGTTTAGAATTGTGAGAAGACTTTGCGTCTACACATGTACTTTCAGAAGATGATGGTTTTGTTTTTTTTTGCGCTGTTTTTTCGCATTTAGGAGATTTTTCATCTCGGCTATATTAGAGGAGCCAGAAATGTATTGGTAAAGGATGAATATATCATCTGCAAGCTTTAATTCAAGACCTTAGGCCTCGCCTCCCCTACGTTGAGGCTTTCTTGTTACAAGGGCACCAGGGGGCATATCGTCGGGTCTTCTAATTCTGGCGAGATCGTAGAATGCGTCCCGTATGCCATTCAGGCCTTCAGCATTTTTACCGGAGCTGATGAATTTGGACTTAAAATCGCCTCTATTGCGATTGCCGCATCTTGCTTTAACGAATTCGAGTAACTGATGTTCCGTCTGGGTAGCAATGGGATCATTGTCGTCTGTTTCATATTCACTGTCACTACTTGAGCTCGACATAATGACATGAATTAGTTCGAAATCCTTGGATCACATCTCATGACAAACAGTTTAATGCACGTCAGAAAGATGTCGCTTCAGTGCAATACGTTGCGTTCGGTTTTAGCAACACCAATGTCCAAAAGTTTCCAACTGAAGTGGTATAATAACACTTACTTGTAGGTATCTAGTAGATGCAAAATATCCATATATAAAATATATCCTAGACGTGAAATACGATTATAATCCTGCAAGCTAGATTCCGAAATGTTGAATCATTCCAGTCGATTGAAATCAAGATGGCGTAATTTCAAATCCTAACGGATCCAAATGTTTCTTGCTTTATAACACACGTCAGCAACAATATCCAGTAAAAGTATGTAGTTACAAGTAATCCAGATATGTTCAAAGAGCGTCCGAACTTGTTTAAATTCACTAGGCCTGACTCGATAGCGGTAAGCAAGACATAATATACGGAGACATATTTCACTATTTTACATAAGTAGGTCACCGGAAGCAAAATCTCGACTAATCCAGATATGTTCAAAGAGCGTCCGAACGTCCGAAAGAGCGTCCGAAAAAAATGAGTGTTTGTAAAATATAGTGACTTTTTATAATTGCGTTACAATTAGTTACTAGGCCAATCTTGGTCGGCGGCGTGCGTTTACGCGGTAGCTACTAGCTAGGCGTCGTCGTCAGTAAAAAATATTGTTTGTTTGTAAATAGTGATTATTTTCAATTTAACATTTACACAATTTGTATACATGTATCTCCTTTATATAAAGAGCAATAAATATATACATACATACATACATACATACATACATACATACATAAAGTTGGTTTTATCAATTTTCAATGAGAGTTTATTAGCACAGAACCAATCATCTACACAATTTTGAATTCATTTTTGATAATATCAATTAAGGTATAAATATTTTTGTCAGAGCAATTAAATTAGATAGGATTCAACCATTTACTGTGTTCATATATGTAGCGTATTAGTTCTGTTCGTATCTGTAACTGGTGGTCATGTGGTGTCTAGAATCAGCTAAATCATTTCATCCGAATATTATAGTAATTGGCCATTTTTTTGTTATGACAACATAATCTCAAAGATAGTCCATAAATCAATTTTGGAATGTGTTTTTGATCCTACCACCCCTATGAAAAAATAAAAGCGCCCGCCTGGGTCGCCTGGTCGCTTGTAAAATACAGGTAACCCATTATTCGCTACTTCTAGGATCTAACTCGGGGTACATAATAATGCGAGTAGTTTTTCTGCCCGGGTTACTCTGTCTCATAATGTTTATACTTACATGTTACTTAAATGTATATATTGAAAATGATTGAGGGGGGGGGGGGTAAAGCGTCTTTATCCTTAATTAGTCTTAATGATCCAAAATGTTAAAGAATCGCTATCAAAATGTTGAAAACAAAGAGATATCTATGGTCCTGTATGCGACCTTGCCATAAATGTAGACGGAACAAACGAGTACGCATTAGGAACTCATCTTAAAATATATTCAAATAATAGTTTCAGGCTCACATATGCGTGTATGTGTAGCGTAATCATTCAGAAAAGTCGTACAATCCCAAATAATTGAAATACCTTATTCTCTGTAATTAGCGCCCAGGGCATTTAGAAAATTGAAAATAGACCCTTCAGACATCTAACAAGCGCCCATATAAGATTTCATTTATTTATTGTACCAATAATCCCTTTAAGGGCAAATGTACAAAAGAAGAGAAAAAACTTACATAGACATAATAACGTACAAGTAGAAAAGTACATAAATACAGATAATGTAACCACGGGGTACCATCGAATAATTTTGGAAACGTACCGGAGAACGACATTTTACTAAGAAATGGCAATAATTTAGCACAATATATTTTTTAACTAGAGTTCTATTTTGATTTTGACAAAAGTAAGTATTCCATGCAATAACTATTTCATTCATGAGTTTGTACGAATTCTGTTGGAACCCAGTTCTGATCAAGTACGAAGTTATTGAAATCGGCGCAGACGGACTTTACTCCGAAAGATGGTTTTTCAATTATAACTTTTCACAACATTTAAGTATAGACTTTTGAAAAAAGTACAGAATAGTCCTTATACTTTTGAATAATTCTGTTATTTCTGATTTACACGACTCTGATTTGTTTAATTAAAAAAAAAGTTTTAAAAATATTACTTAGGAACGTAACCGGAGCTGGGAACGTAACCGGAGCAGATCAGTTGAATTATTTAATCAAAAAAAATTAAAATATATATAAAGCACATATACTAATTTAAAAACATACGGGATTGTTCCAATGCGTATTTATTAATATATATGCTTTAAATCATATATTTTATTTTTTTAAATTATATAATTCAACTGATCTGCTCCGGTTACGTTCCCAGCTCCGGTTACGTTCCTAACCCTACTATCACACCAAACTAGTTCTCACTACGTTCTCGGAAACGGGCTTCAACTGTGTACGAACGGACTGGACCTACTAAGAACCGTTTGGGATCTATTTACAAACTTCATCGAACGTACTCGAGCGGGTAGGTCCTCTAGAACTTAGAACATGCTCAAAATGTTCTCGTGGTCGTCACGTTCTACAATTAGAACGAGTGACAACGTACTAACGACGAGCTGGACGTTCTACGAACGGAACCGTCGTACTTCAGTCCTACTAGGGACGTTTTAACAACGAGTTGAACTGTCTGAGGACGTGTTGAGAACGAGGTAGAACTAATTGCAAACGGGTTTAAACTGATTAAGGACGTATTTAATACTGCTTATGAACGAGATAGCAAAAATATAGCTATCACACCAAACAAGTTGCCACTGCGTTCTTCAAAACTGGTTTTAAACTGTGTGCGAACGGAATGAACGTAGCTGCAACTTTCTAAGGTCCATTTACGAACTTTATGGACGTTCTCAGACGGGAATGTGATTTTAGAATTTTGAATCGATTCAAAATTCGATGGCGACCATACCGTTCTGTAATCAGGTCATGTTGACCTTGTAGACTAAGGGACGCGTTCTACGACGTTGCACCCCGACGTGGTGCGACCTGAACGAACTGCGAACGAGATGGACGTATTGAAGACTGTTTAAGAACGAAGAAGCTAATTATTTCAGACATATTTCCCGACCACAGCCAGATTGAGCCCGTTTTACGACGTTTTCGTAGGACTGGCAAGAACGGGTAAGAACTAGTTTGGTGTGATAGGGGGGTAAGTAATATTTTTAAAACTTTTTTTTTAATTAAACAAATCAGAGTCGTGTGAATCAGAAATAACAGAATTATTCAATAGTATAAGGACTATTCTGTACTTTTTTCAAAAGTCTATACTTAAATGTTGTAAAAAGTTATAATCGAAAAACCATCTTTCGGAGTAAAGTCCGACTGCGCCGATTTCAATAACTTCGTACTTGATCAGAACTGGGTTCCAACAGAATTCCTACAAACTCATGAATGAAATAGCCATTGCATGGAATACTTACTTTTGTCAAAATCAAAGTAGAACTCTAGTTAAAAAATATAGTGTGCTAAATTATTGCCATTTCTTAGTAAAATGTCGTTCTCCGGTACGTTGCCAAAATTATTCGATGGTACCCCGTGTTCATATTGCACTTGGATGATGATAACATCATAGTGATACATTGTAAAAAATATGAACAAAATCTAATGTCTGGAACTTTTTCTACGCTGACCTGGTACTGCATCCTTAATACTTTTTGTTGCCTCAATGACCCTATTATTTAACCATTCCATAATCAAGTATCTGTAGAATATAGGAAGTTTTTCAATCATGTTTTTTCCTTTTATCTCTCGATAGTTTGACATATATTCAAATATGTTTAAACCATGAATTGATTTTTCAAGAAAGTGGCGACTAACTTTATTCCATGATGATCTAACTTCAATAAAGATTCTCTTAACCCATGTCATAACCATAGCACTTTGTGTCACATGTATATCAACCATATTTGCTCCACCATGTACATAATTTTGTCTTAGAATTTTTTTTAATTCTGTCTGTCCCACCATTAGTTGCATTTTTCCACACAAATTGATATAGCATGTTATTAATTCTATCTAAAATTATTTGCGGTGCAATAAATGTCATTAACATATTAGTTATTTGGGATGCAATTAAGCTTTTTACCACTGTTATTCTACCCATAAGTGTTAAGTTTCTTTTGTTCCACTGTTTAATAATAGATTCCATTTTCAAAAGTTTTGAGTTCCAATTTTCTATGATTTTACATGCAGGATATTTATTTGAAAATATTACTCCTAAAACTTTTATTCTAGCGTCTTCTCCTAGCTTCCAAATTATATTACACGGTTTTTTAATTGAGTGTTCTTTCTGACCAAGCCACATTGCTTGTGTTTTTTCTGTGTTCAATTTTAGTCCAGTTGTTAAATAAAACCTATTTGCTTCATTTAAAACATGTTTCAAGGATGCTTCATTGTTTACAAATATTGTAGCATCGTCAGCATGGGAGGTTATTTTCAGCTCCGTGGAGGCATTGATTTGAATACCTCTAATTTGCTTATTTTGTCTAATTTTACATGAAAATATTTCTGTTGCTAAAATAAAAATTATTGAACTTAAAGGGCAACCTTGTTTCAATCCTTGCTTTAAACTTAACTAATGTCAGAAAACCATTGTTAGTACTGGCTGCTGTCGTATTATTATTAAATACTTCAATCCATTTTATCAGATCAGGCCCAAAATTGTATTTTTTCATCATATCTATGATGAAAGTTTTTGAGATCGAATCAAACGCCCGAGAGTAATCAAGAGCCACCATCATAGCTTCTAAATTATCTTGTTCAATATAATGGAGAACATCATCAATTAGTCTTAAGTTGAGATGTATACCTCTACCTTTCATGTAAGGATTTTGATCAGCCTCGATTAATTTTTTGATTACTTTTTGTAACCTTTTTGCAAGTGCCGAAGCGCCAATTTTATAATCCACACAGGTTAAGGATATAGGTCTAAAACTTTTAAGTCTATTGCGTGGCAATTCTTTTCCCTTAAGGAGTAAAACAATAAGGCCCTTTCTTTGGCTGCTTCATAATTGACCAATTTGATACGCAAAATTCAATGAATTAACAAGAAGGTGCTTAATTTTCGCCCAAAAGACTTTATAAAATGCAGGAGTTATCCCATCAATACCTGGACTTGTGTTATTTTTCATCTCTTTGACACATTTTGCACATTCATCTGCTGTTATCAACCCTTCACATGAACTTTTTTCATTTTCACTTAAATTTGGAATATTAATATCTTCAATAAATTCTTCTAATGTGTATTTTACATCTTCATTTTCCTGATACATGTTTTGATAATAATCAAATAATGTATTCATAATATCACCCCTTTTAACAACTGATGACCCATCACTTTTCACTAAATTTGTAATAGTTTTTCCTTTTGAATTCTGAGTCTCAAGTCCAAGAAAAAATTTAGTATTTTTTCTCCATTTTCTATCCAATTAATTTTTGATCTTACTTGAGCTCCCTTTGTTATGTAATCAGATGATAACTGAAACTGAAGTTGAAGTTTATTTTGTTTTTCAATACATTCTTGATCATTTGGATTATTACTTAGTTTTTTTCTGAGCTAAATTTAATTCATGTTGAAGACAGTTCAGTTTATTGTTTTTTGCCTTTGCCGCTTTTTTGCTATATTCAATAGTTGTTTTTCTAATTTCACTTTTACATGCGTCCCATATTAACTGAGGGTTGAGGTTTACAAAATCATTAGCTACTTTTTCAATCACCCCATTAATGCTATTAACATATTCTAATTCTTTTAGCAAGCCATTATTAAATTTCCAGTATCCCCTACCACGGTTTTACACAACATTATATTTACATCTAGTATTTTATGGTCAGATTTTGCACATGGAAAGATATCTGAACTTACTGTCTTACAAGCTAATCCATTAGATAGAGATATGTAGTCTAATCTTCTAGCTATGAATGGTGTTTTTTGTATACTCTTTTTCATTTTCATGGAGATTTCTCCAAATATCATTTAAATTGTTAACAGTGACTAGACTATTGCATTTTCGACTACTTTTGCACAATGCTTATTTCCTGATATTATATTAAGTTCATTATCCATTACTGTGTTCATATCACCAGCAATTACTACTTCAATATTATCATTACAGTTTTTTTGATACAGTTTACTGAGGTTTTTAAAAAATTCAATTTTTTCATTGTCTTTATTTGGTGCATAGCAATTGAAAAATGCAATATTTGTATTGTCTATCTTAATTTTCAATGTTTGTATTCTTCCTTTTTCATACTGTTTAACATTTTTAATTACTTCAATTACTTCAACATCTTCATTCTTGTTTATTAAGATAAGCTGCCCCTTACTTGAGGCTGTACCAGGTGTCCCAAATATTTCTCCACCCCATTGCATCCTCCATATGTGTTTAATACTTTCACTGTAATGTGTTTCTTGCAATAAAACAACTGAAAATTTATTTGATTCAAACCAGTCAAAAATAGCTTTTCGTTTTCTTGTGTTAGATTTTATTCCTCTTACATTTAATGTACCTATACGCATATGTTGGATGTCATGGGGTGTATCAATTATCTATGTTTGTTGCTTTTTATCTTCACAACGTTTTTCTTAGGAGGGCGTTCTGTACTTGGTGGTGTAAAGTTCTGTACACGCTTCCCAACTAGTTTTGGAGTTTCTTCATTTTTGCTCTGTTGTGTTTTGGTGTTTGTTTCTTTAATTGTGGGTTTCACTTTGACTTCATCTGATCTTCTTATCTGACTTATCTTAGGCTCAGTATCATCTTGTTCACTGTCTCTCGTTTCACTTGGTGTTTCTATTTCTTCAGTTTCTTCAATCTCAACTGTCGCAACTGTCTCAGTTTCTTCCTTAGGCTGTTCGTTCTCTGGGCATTCGCGAGGAAGTGCACTTCTTTTAAACATTTTCGACAAGCATTATCGTTGCCACGTTTGCGATTATTTGGACACTCACGACCAAAATGATCCAAGGCCTTGCACCGAGTGCAGTTGATTGGCTGGCTGTTGATATATATGGTGACATCAAGATCAACAATGTCATCCTCATCAAACGGGTCTGAAGTCGAATAGGTGTTGTACCGAGGAAAGATGACTCCCTCCTTCACATGCCCATATAGAAATCTGTTACCTGAGTTGATGCGAATGTTGCCTTCAACCTTATATGCATACTGTATGGGGCTGGTGATATCCACTCTTTCACTTATCCATTCAGACACCTCATCGTTTGGACAATGGAGAGGTATCCCATGAATAGACACTCGCTCAGGGGGCGTGTACACTTCCCTGGTATAGCTTCCTATTTGCACAAGTTGATCGTCTATTGTAATCTGGCCTATCGCGAGTAGTGTCCGTTTTACCTTAGGGTCTTTGCAGTAAACAATAGTGATGCTACGCCATTTTACTCGCACCATTTGAACACCTTTAATATCCTCATTACTGACACTGTCAGGTCCTAATTCATCATATATGATCTTTGCTATGTCCATTTCCTTTGCAAATACTCTATCTAATTCTATTTTTACCCAGAGTGATGTGTTATTGTAGCCTTCAGCCATTGTGTTCACTCTTTACTATTATAGTATTTATATATTTTATGATTTATGGCGTGATATACAGTATGACCAAAACATTTATTCTGTTCATTGTCATAAGACCGAAATCGCTTGGCGATTGAGGTGTTTGTCAATGGCAGAATAAAATTTGAGGTCATATATCTGACATAAATCATAAAATCGAGGTCTTTGTTACGATAAATATTTGTATTTATGAATTTTAGCGGTCATACATACTCCAACATAGACCAGTAAATAAAATCTTCTAGTTATTGTGACGTCACGTATCATTTTAGAATTAAAATTATATATTGTAAGTGGCTTATTAAGCACCAGATTAATAATGATCAATCATTCATTCCTTTTTAATCCTACGTCAAACATTCGGGTACGCCAGAACCCCTCTTATCTGCCGTTTGCGTTTGGAAGGATAAAGACAAAGGTGGCGCGGCTATATCACGATATACGTCAAATGATTAATCTTTATGACATTTCCCTTCACCAGGGCCTACACCAATATTCTTAACACCACTTATTAACCGATGCATGCATCAAGGGGTAGACATCATTCAAAAGCCATAATTATAACCGGTGTGAAAGAAATGATGGTCCCCCGGGGATTAAGGTCCCCTTTCTTAACGGCCCTTACTGGCCATGATTGTGTATAAGATAATGAGGGAAAGAGTTGTATTTCGGTCACCATATAAATCAATGGAGAGTAGGACCATAATTTGATAGGACCTCCTACCCTTTACACCTGGTCGGTCGGGGGAAGGTTTGCATACAACGCAATTTCTACATGCAAGCTTATTTTCACATATGCACATATAATTAATAAAGTTGATTCCTTGGGAATTCTAATTGGGTTTATAAGCGTAACAAGGGGAGCGAGGGGTTCGCACATCCTCCCCACAAGCAATAAAATACAAACATTAGGTAGATGAAGAAAAGAGCTTTAAAATTATTTTTAGTTTGAAGCTTGCATCATTTTTGTAAACATTCAAAACAAATCTTTTTTTGCCTCCCTTATGTCACGATCGCACCCCCTGACTGAAAACCGCAAATATTTTGGCGATTACACCCCCCCCCCCCCCGACTGAAAGCTGGCTACGGCCCTGGGGTTTTATCAAAAACTATATCATTAACATTTTACCATTATGCAGGAAATCCAAATTGGTAAATATGTTGCATTTATTTAAGGAATTCCACTGTAAAATATATATGAATGTTTGGTATGAATATGAATACATATATGAATGTTTGGTATGAATATGAATACATCCAAACTCTCAATATCCATTCTTTTGATATAAGATGTTGTTTCAAAGGCAAATTGAAACTTTAATCTAACTGCTAATGTGTATCAACACTTCGATTACACTCATTTACGAACAACAAGGCATTGACAACATCAGGTTGAAGTCATGCCCGTTTGGAAGTGATGGTGTTGCCAGCTGCACTGAACTGCCGTTCACTTGACATGGATGACGCAGGAATAGCATGATATGTTTCAGCCAAACTCCGTTTACTTTCTGAGAACTCAAGACAGTCAATAAACTTGGATGCTGATGACAAATAGCTGCCCAATTGTTAGCTTGGCTCGTCTTGGTCGTCATTTAATTTAAAACTAAAAATACATTTTGATTCGTAAGATAGTTACATACTATTTCGCGAAATTCATCAGTATGGGTTCAAATCGGTCTTGCACCATGTATGCATATAGACTTGAGAAGCTACAGAGAGAGTTAGGAACAAAGTGGGGGTGGCAGCGCATTGGCATTTTATCTTACATATTTTTATAGGTATTTCGGTAACGGTACGGTTATTAGCGTGACGGTTACCGGTACTAGTTTTCAGTACCGTTGCGAACTCTATTCAATGGGACAACGTACATGTACATTCGAGTTGACAACATAGCTTACATGTATGATTTTTGAAATTATAGCCAAAATGTTAATACTTATTAAATCTTCAACAATCTTCGACACTCTTAGACGACAGGGGAGGAAATGATCAAAGGAAATGTGTAACACAACATTTTCCAACCGACCAATTCTCCCTTTCGCGGTTCGCTCTTTGAATCAGAACGTTCGCAAATATGTACTGAAAAAGCACTCAAAAAGGACGAAATTTGATTGGTCAATATTTTTCCAACTATGCATTTCGCGTAGCTATTTGCGTGACCCGAAAGTTCTAAATCAAACTAATATGGGTAGATTGACTATGCCGGAAAAATCGAGCACTGTTCGAAAATCTTTCAACGGTATTAGAAAGTTAAATGTCTTCCTTAACGAATACACAAAAAACCAAACATGAAATCCTTAATGCATTCCTCAGATTATTTTTAAAAAACCTACATCATTGTCTTTGCTTCGAATCGGTTAAATAGTGACATCGTACATCTAAAGTGTACTACGGTATATTTTGTCACTGTACCTTGTCGATGGTTAGGCTTGTTTTTCGCAGTTTGTAAAGGTTTAACTATGAAATTCATTGTAAAGTTCACTGTTTTTGATATTGTGATAGACATTTACATGTAAAAATATCTCGAAACTAGACCAGATCTTTCTGGAACATTGAAAACATCAGTTTGTTCAAATTTCATCACCCTCGTGTTTTACCTTACCCCACGCGTTCTACTGTCACACTTAATTTGGTACAGCCCTTGTGTAGACTAGACGGTATGAATCAACAAGAAAATCAACGACTTTTTTTGTTTTCTGAAGGCCTATTTTATTTCCATATTTCAATACATTATGTTTATTTACATCATATACATGAACTTTGAAAAATAACCTAGGCAAAAATTGTTGGATTCTGCCAATAAAAGCCGTCGGAAGCTTCAGCGTCTTTTTAAAGGCAAAACGTTTTCTCCCCAATTTCTTAATCTCGAGGCTTCAAAACTTTCATCCGTTGGTAGTTTTAAGTTGAAATTCCCACTTGGAAGATATTGGCATGCCACATAGGTTTCTGTTCGACTGGCATCAGCGCTTTGAACTTGAGTTACCCCACACCCGACTTCAGTAGTAGCTTTCCAAACAACCTGTTTGAATTATAGCATTTTTCATGTTGATTCACCGTATTGTGCTGCCATCTTTAAATGGGTTTCTTATAGGTTTTGTAGGGTTTGCCTTTCATTTCCTATAACTTGGGGGTATTTAAGAGAAATTTTGGGCTTCATTCAGTAGAGAGTTAGATCGGGGGGAACATCACACATCATTTATTTTCATCTTATTAATCTCATTTTCATTCTTTCTTTATCTTTGAACAGTTTTATTTTATACTGAAGAGTGTAATTGTGCATGTTTAGTCTTTTACTTGGAATAAAGTATAGTTTTATGAGTATATTAATTCTGTGTTAATCTTGTCTTTTTTACATTACAAGACCAATCCATATTATTTTATGAAGAACCCACAGAGCTATTTAAACAACAAAGCTCGAAGCTTCATTGGTGGCAGCGGTGGGATTGGTCTTTGTCTTGTAAAGAGATTATTTTCGCAGTTTTAGTGTATTTATTTTCATTTAAGAGTGGAGATTAGTTCTCTTCACATCTTTAAATTTGATTAACTTTTACTGAAGAGTGGAGATTAGTTCTCTTCGCATCTTCAATTTAGCTTTACTCTTACAAAAGAGCGGAGATTAGTTCTCTTCGTTTCTCTCTTTTAAGTTAGGTTTATTCTATACTGAAGAGTGAAGATTAGTTCTCTTCAACTCTTTCTTTAGGATTTTGTCTTCATATCAGTTTACTTTGAATGAAGAGTATTTGTGTTCACTGTACTATTAGATATTAACTTTGTCTTTATGCACAATGTTTGTTTATGCATGCATTTAAGTTGACGATCTTCACTTAAACGACTGATAATGATCTTGCCTTTGTGTACGCTCAGTTAATTTATGCGTAACTTTACCTTGATCTTGTGAACAAAAAGAAGACAAAGAGTCAAGGATATTTTATGTTTACACGTGCTATTGTTAAGGGAATCATCATTTAGTAATGAAGACGGGCTCCCGTTGTAGTTACTTTTAAAATTGAAATACGAAAACGCTTGCATTTCAGCGTTGTACTAATTTCTGTATTTGCTATCAACAAGAAGCTCATGTAACAGGCTCCTGTTTTAGTTACTTCAAAAACACTTTCTTTTACTTTCTTTCTATCCTTTATTTCTACAATTGCGCATGCTAAGACGCATTGCTTTAAAATTGGCAAAATCGAGCGCGTATCTATTTGTTTGGCTGTGGCTATAGTGTTAGGATTGTCCCGAATTGGTGTTAGACGAAATTATGAATTGAGAATATTTGATTTGAATGTTCGAGATCTAGTTTTTGGTCTTTGTATTTTGTAAAAATCCCTGTATTGATGATAAAAGCGTACTTGATTCTGTTTGTGTTTTGATATTATGTATAGAGTATAGCTCATTCATTAAATAGAAGTTGATACCTTGTGAATATGGAAGGGAAAGATCAAGCGGAAGATCAAGGTGAAAATGGGGATTTACACAGTTTAGGTGCCGTCGGGGGAACTGATAACGGTGACAAAAATGTTCAAGAAAAGTATGACGATGGGGAGGTCGCGTATAACAAACGGGAAGATGTAAATAGCAAATTGCAAACTTTTCAGAGTGACCCCGGGATTAAACAGACTGCATCGGGAAATACATTTGAAACTTCAGGGTATGATTCTAAGAGTTTCAGCACAATGAGACCTAGTAAATCACCTACTGACAGGCCTCCGCCTCCTGGGTTTAGCGCTCGTGAAAGCTTTGAAATCTCAGATCCCAAATTGACTCATTTTAACGATGTAGTTAATGATACGATGAGGTTAAATAGTCAAGGTGTTTCAAATGACAAAATGCAAAAGCCTAGAAATGTAGCTAAGCAAAAACTTGACGATGTACGGATCAAACTGTTTGCCGAGACGCATGATTTAACTCCAATTGTAACATATGTTGATTCATCAGGAAATTTTGTAGATATTGAAACTTTGTCAGGGCCAAAAAAAATTAAGAGTCAACAACCTGTCCTTGAAAGTACACATTATTCTCAAGAAAAAAATGAAAGTTTTGCAAACAAACCAATGAAACCTGACAAGAAGACAATGAATTTAATAGATTTCAACGATAATGAAGACAATGATATTCTGGGTAATTTGAATGATTCAAGTGTCCTAAATAAAGAAAGTAGCGTTAGGAAGTTAAGCAAACCAGCAATGGCTCCAGATAGATACTCAGGTGAAACTCCATGGGTTGATTATAAAGCGCATTTTGAATGTTGCGCGGAAATAAATGGATGGGGTTCAAAAGTTAAAGCAAGTTTCCTCGCCGCCAGTTTACGCGGTCCAGCGCAACAAGTTGTTGGCGATATGCCTGAAGAAAAGCGATGTCAATATGATGAGCTAATAGCACGTCTAAGTAGAAGATTTGGTACAGAGGGACAGGGGGCTCGTTTTGAAGCTGAATTAAAACGGAGACGAAGAAAGCAAAATGAATCATTGGCTGAATTAGGTCATAATATCAGGCGCTTAACTAATTTAGCATACCCAGAATTGCCAGATGAAAAATCAAGAGAACGATTTGCAATTAATCATTTCATTGACGCTTTAAATGATCATAACCTGAAGCTTTCAGTGTTTCAAGCAAAGTGTAAAAACTTAGATGAAGCTATTCGCGTTGCTATAGAGACAGAGTCATTTGTAGAAAACACAAATTCGCGCGTTAGGTTTAGCAATGAAAATCGGCGATTTGTAAGGTCAATGTCAGGGCAAGAAACTGAAGACTCTTTAGATGAGGTTAGGGCATTGAAAGAGGAAGTAGAAAAATTGACAAAAAGAGTAAACGCCGATCAAAAGACCAATTATGAAAAAAAAGAAAATGTTAGAACTCCTGATCAACAAAGACATTTAAACTTCGTGCAAAGGGGGGCTCCCGGGACTAATAAAAACTCTCAATTGAAGTGCTTTAATTGTCAAGGTTACGGGCATCGTTTTATGGCTTGTCCAAGTCCAAAGAATGCAAACAGAGGCCAAAATGACAGTTTTTATCAAAAATTTGAAGGATCTAGATATGGTAAAGCAAATAATGGGTCGGGAAACTTCAACCGGCAGGGCCCAAGGAGCACTGCCCGGCCGGAAACATAAGCTCCAAAGAAATGAGAACTCGAATTGAAAGAGCGAAGCAGGGAATGTATGTTAAGGGTAGATTAAACAATACGGTAGACGTAGCTTTTCTTTTAGATACAGGGGCAACGGTTACCGTAATTTCTTTAGACAAATATTCCGAAATACCGTTCAGTAGAAAAGGGAGATTACGACCCGTTTCAAGAAGAGTTTCAGGCGCTGACGGTCAGCCATTTAAATGTGGAATAGAAGGTGAATGTGATCTTAATATTCAAGTAGGGGATTGTGAAGTAGAGACATTGGTGATAGTAGCTGATATACCAACACCAGGGCTGTTAGGCATGGACTTTATTACCAAGTTCGGTGTATCAATTGATTTCAAAACGTTTGAGTTTGTTATGTCAAGACCAACTGAAATAAGTCACAAGTCATCTGTCAAATGTTTAGATGCTGATTGCAACGATATTTGTGCAACAGTAATTTCAAAAGATACAATGTATATACCAGCAGGGCATGAAGCTATTTTGCAAGGACATATCTTAGAACAAGCTGAAAGTTGTGATAAGGGAATAAAAGTTGTAGAGCCCTTAGAAAATGGTTCTCTAAACAAGCAAAACGTGTGTGTAGCTAGGGTGTTAGTAGATAGTAGTAGTCCATTAGTTCCAGTAAGAGTGTATAACCCCGGGGAAAAGAGCGTTACTGTGCACGAAAATACAAGAATCGCAGTTTTATCGCCAATAAGTGACGTATTGGATACAAGTAGCATTGAGGGTGAAGTCATAAATAATGTAAATAATGTGAAGAAAAATGAAAAAGATCGCCCAAATAAAATGCCCAAACATTTGCAAGACCTTTGGCAACGTTCTCAAGAGAATTTGAGTGAAAATGATCACGAATCAGTAAAAGAATTGTTGATTAAATATCAATCAGTTTTTTGTAAAGATGATTACGATCTGGGTAGAACTAATCAGGTGGAACATAAAATTGATACAGAAAATGCTAGGCCTATCAAACAAAAACCAAGGCGTTTTCCTATGTGGAAGCAGCAAGAGGCTCAGAAACAAATAGATAAAATGCTTGAAAAGGGGTTAATCAAACATAGCCAAAGCCCATGGGCTAGCCCTGTCGTTTTAGTGAAAAAAGCAGGCTCAGTAAATAAATGGAGGTTGTGTATTGATTACCGCAAATTAAACTCTGTCACGGTGAAAGACTGTTACCCGATTCCCCGCATAGATACTGTGTTAAATCAAATGGGAAAAAGCAAATTTTATTGTTCCATGGATTTAGCCGCTTCTTACCATCAAATCCCTATGGAAGAGTCTTCAAAACCGAAAACAGCATTCATAACTGAGGGTGGTTTTTATGAGTACGAAGTAATGAGCTTCGGCTTATGTAATGCTGGGGGTACTATGGAAAGATTGATAGAAAATGTTTTAAGGGGACTATCTCCTGAAATTTGCCTTCTTTACATCGACGATATAGTCTGCTGGGGGTCTAGTTTAGAGGAAATGAATGAACGATTAGGGACCATTTTTGAGAAACTAATTGGGGCGAATTTGAAAATTAGACCTGATAAGACATTCTTGTACCAGAAAACAGTGAAATTTTTGGGTTTTATGATTGGTGAAGAGGGTGTGTCAATGGACCCTGACAAAGTAGATGCAATATTGAAGTATCCTAGACCAAGGTGTGTGCGCGACGCAAGAGCGTTCATTGGAACAGCTTCTTACTATAGAAAGTTCATCAAAGATTTCTCGCTGATAGTTCGACCTATAATAAAACTGACTGAGAAACAATCAAAATTTGTGTGGAATGAAGATTGTGAAGCAGCAATGGATAGGGTGAAATCTCTTTTAACCAAGGCTCCTATATTAGCTTTTCCGTTGCCTGATTGTGAGTTCATAATGGACTGCGATGCTTCGAACTTTCA